ATGTTGAATGTGGGGGGGGGGGGGTGTGGGGGGGCTGGGGGGGGATCCTATCCATGACTATTCAAAAATAAACCTCAGGGCTCACCCCTCAGGTAAAAGAGGATATATTTCCATGTATGTATGTATGTATGTATGTATGTGCGTACATACGTATGTGTGTGTGTGTGTGTGTGTGTATGAATGACACTTAAGGTCACTGAAACTGCTCTAAAATAAGCCCTGTGTCCATCTCTGAAGAAACAACACACCCGGACTTTCCTACTTAAATACATATGTATATGTATATATTTAAATACACACACACACACTTAAATAGGGAACTATAAGTATATACATATACTTAAATAGGAAACTCTGGATGTGTTGCTTCTTCAGAGATGGACGCAGGGCTTATTTTAGAGCAGTCCCAGTGACCTTAAGGAACCTCCTTCTAAGTATCTCTTGAGTGACTGCAGTTCATGAAACAGCTTTTATTAGGTTTTTGAGCTAATGCTCATTTATCAGAGAGCAAACCTCATGGAAGACCATGGGACTCACCTCTGAATAAATACTGAAATTTTATCCCCTCCTTTGCATCTAAGGAGCCCAAAGAATAAGCAGCAATTCAGCAGCCTTTGCCTGTAGAAGCCATCAGAAATGCGAAGGGTTATGAATTCCCGGAGGCCAAGTTGAAATTTCACGTTACTCAAACCGGGCTTAAGGCGGGCTTCGGGTTGGTTAAACCAGGTTAGGGATCAGACTACAACCCCGCCTCCTCCTTAAGGAGCAGTGTGTAGTCAGGAATTGGTAAGATTATTTTGATTACAGTCCTTTAATGATCAAGGAAAGGAAGGAGAGAAGAGAACAAGATATTTTTGGACGTAAGGAGAAAAGGAAACTGCATTTTACTGAGCAGTTGCACTTCATGTACACTTTGGGTAGGAGCATTTTTTGTGTGTGTTCATTAAAGTCAACAACCGAAATTATATTTAGATCTTCAGAATTAAGGCATTAGGAACTGCACAGAAAGAGGCAGGAAGAAGGAAAGAATCTTTTAAAATCTTGTTTTTGTCTTAAAACCTTATTCCAATTCTGCCCAGTTTTTGTTGTTGTTGTTGTTAACATTAATGTTGTGATGATTATATCAGTTTATAAGAAAGATATTTCAGGAACGATAGTTTTCAAATCCCCAGTTAAAAACAAATGCGCTGAGATGTGGGGGCAGTTGCGAAAGGCTTCTGCAGTTGATTGACAGCAGGTCACCGACGAGAAAACCCAGGCAGTGGACAAGGTCGTCTGTATTTGTTACTTGTTGAAATTCCCATAAAATTGAACAAGACCTCACTCTCATCTGGGTTAAGTCAAGCTCCAGTCCCCTTCGGTGTGGTCCAGCCCAGACTGTCTTTGTTTAGTTAACCTTCGAGACCCACGTTTAAAAGGGTTA